ATTTTTGTCAAATTTTTATGATATCTTCAAACATATATTTTATTCAAAAATAAAAACATCATCGCTTTCTCAAAATCACATAAAACCATATTATAACATCGACTGAGATAAGGAATAAAATGAAATATTAAAATCATGATGTATCTCGCTGCATTGTGCGAGTACGCTTCTAGTATATATATATATATATTTATATTACATAATCACCCATATAAGCCTTAACAAACCCAACCCTAACCCCCCTAACACCACAAAACTGCAACTTGATGAAGTAAATTACACACTGCATTTTTAAGAATGTATCAGGTAGTGTTGTTTTACGAAGTATATTATAATGTGTATTTTTGTTATTTTAGATGTTTTATGAATTGCATCATAATGTGCATTTTTTTTCGTTGTTTTACAAAGGGTATTACATTGTGTATCTTGTATTTATCTTGTGTATCAAAATAAGTATCGTTTTATGTATCTTTTTTTTAACAGAGTCAATTTTTTAGTTATCACAGTGTGTATCTTATGTTCGCCAGAGATGAAATTTCTAAAATACCTATGTCATTTAATTAAATTTTGAAGTCAAAATTGTTAATTTATTCTTTGATTTATGGTTAAGATTGGATCCGACGGTTATCATAAATTACTGAGTTCTGTTATAAAAGAAACCCTATATATATAGGGTTGGGTTCACGTGAGACCCATGGTTTTTCGTCAGACCCGTAAGACCAATTTATGTTCATTGATCAACTTTATAAGCTAATGATCTAATGGTCTAAAGTTGCACGATGACAATTTTATGAATATTGAGAAGTCTCGTGACGTTTATGAATGTTCAGATTCTCAGATTGTAGATCTAATCCAAAGGTTGAGAATTGGTCTCACATGATCCTAAGTCTATATATATACATAGAGAAAGAGAGAGAGAAAAACAATAAGGTATGTATTTCACTTTTGTCTTGCACTTTTTTGGGCTCTAATTGTTGGCATAAACTTATTTGTACACAACCCTTTGGAGATCAAAATTGATGCATTTCTTCAGATTGAAGATTAAGAACATTGTATTTGGTCTTGTATAATCTACATAAATATACCTAAAATCTAGTTTGGATCATTCTGTTCCGAGTAGCCTGTTATTATCTGGTATCAATCACCCGAATATACACTCCTTGTTTCCATTACCACAAACCAAAAATGACATAAATATGCAAATAAAAGAGGAAGAGTTCTCCAAATTTGAGCGATCATTTTTGGACGCTTCTTCAAATTTGGAAGAGTTCTATTTTTCTTTCATACTTCTTTATTTTGGAGAATCTGTTGGAACAAAAGAGTAGATTAAAATCTCCAAAAGCTCACTTTCTCCATTTTGGAGAATCTATTGGAGACCCTCTAATACCTTTGGTCCAAATAGGTCACGTAGGGTCTCTTTGTCTAAATGAACCCGACAAAATTTCAGGCATTTCGGGCATTATGAAACAAACTTGAGATTTCATTAATATAATTATCAGTCTTGGGAGTTGTTTACTTACAGTTTAATAATGGTCTGGACTCTGGACGGCTTATTCGTTAAGCCATTAGGAGTGTGTCTTTACAACCTAATCGTTAAGCCATTAAGCCAAATGACTACATGGCATAAGCCATGACCACTCACTCTATCACTTGTCCCCATAAAGCCACCTCAAACAAATTAATACTAGAAATAATGCAATCCTCTTTTTGCCTCCCTCAGACCCATCAATCTCCCATCCCTTTGGCAAACAAATTTCATCTAGACAAACAACTTAACCCATACAGAGCTTAATGGAAAGAAAACGAAAAAGTAAACAACCCCTAGTAGATGTGCAAAACCCAACTAAAGCCTCATGAGAGCCATGTTTCTATCATTTTCTAATCCTATATCCAGATAAAAAATTATATAGGGAAGGGTTGAGATATCAAGTTTCCTTTATTAATTTCATCAATAGTCAACAACCCTACTTCACAAACAAATCAAGATGTTTTGAATACAATCCCTACCTCCAGAAAACCTAAAGATTAGAATTCAGAAAAATCATGGCTAATTAAACGATCGAGTATAGAATAAAGTATGTGTACTTACGAGCGAAATGAACACCCACAACTGCAGCATATGAATCTTGAGCAGCGACCTGCGAATTCAGCAATCGGATACAGCTTCACTTGATAAAATTCATCCAAAAATACGCAAAAAAGAACTTCACAAAAACAGCATCATCATGCAGGAATTTGCTCAGCAACAAGAGACTTTTTTTCTGTCTCAGTTTCAGTCAATTGGAATTGTGGTTTTGAAGGGAAGACGAAAATGGTGGATGCAGCAAGTGTAGGTTGGAATCCGGCTGAATATCTCACCGAGGTTATTGTAACCCTAGGAAGCTGTAGAGAACCAGAACTTAATGGTACAAGCTTGTAACTTAGGATATGCTCCGAAAGCGGTAGAACGAAGGTTGTGTTGTTGTGGGCTCCAGATAAAACGAAACTTTGGGAATCTGATAAAGAGAACTTAACCTCCTGTAGCAGTTTCGTTTGATTGTGAATACGAGCAAAGTATGTGAATGGTTCACCAAGAACTCCATGAGGAGGGCACTCTAAACTAACAATCAATGGAGGAAACTCTACCTTCACATCAGGTAAACTTTGTTTTGTGAGAACTGGTTTTGATGATCGATGATCCCTTTTCCATCTCAAACACACACTCCCCATGTTAAGTTTTGATACATTTAACTCGGGTTTTACCGAGAATACTTTCTTGAACTCTTCCCCAGGCACAAGGAGGGTGGGGTTATCAAAATCATGAACTCCAGACTGAATAGTGCACGTGTTTTTGGGAGTGACATCATCTTCAGGCTCAATGGACATTGAGAGTAATCTTAGTGGGACCTCAGTGCAGTTTGTGGCACTAACCACGAGTATGCTGGTTTCATTTACAGGAAGTGATGCTGTTTGACCAGAATCAGGGGCGCGTTTGATTCGTGAGAGCAAAAGTGGGTCCCGCCGGAAGGGTAGCATAAGACGATGGCTGATGACAACTGGGGTTTTCCCTTCGATTTGCAGGCTTTTGTGGACATGAACTTTATTGGCACCAGTATTTGGAGAATAGCCAAGAGATACATACAGCATGATTGGCTTAGGACGGTGCCAACGGATCTCCAGATTGCAAGACCACGAATCTCCCACGTTCAAAAACGGAACAGAAACCAATCCAAATGAGTGGTGAATTTTCCTGATATTGTCATTAGCTCCTTGTGAATCATCGTCGGTTTCTGCACCAGATACACCAAGAAGCTCAACATGAAGATTGTCGTTAGATGACAATTCAGCTTCTCTTGGACTAAGCAAACCAACCCCTCTGGTATCAACTAGATTGATCTTCAATTCACCGGAGTGAACCGAATGGCCTTTGGAGGTGAGAGTTACAGGTAACAAGAAGTTTTCTCCAACTAATGCAGGCCCAACGGAACCCAATTTAAGATCAACTTGGGGATCTGGTTCCTCAACCTGGGTAACCTTCATACCAGAGAATGCAATAGCAGGATCCTTAGTTGGGGAAGCTTCAAAACGGTCCTCAAATTTCCAGAGGGGTAAATCATGCATATTGGCAGGACTTTCAGCTCCGCAACATATGCTGAAGTGGGGTCCAATTCGAGCAATTACATATGTGCATTCCAGTTTTCCACTATTTACTGCACCATCAAATATAGTCATATACATACAGCAGAAAACAAGAGCAAAAATAACACTAGCTAATAAATTATAAAGATAATTCTTTAACTGGATGAATCCATTTGGAGTTGCTAATTGCAAAGGAATCAAATTGAAACAATGTTTTTTTCTCTATCACGGTGTAAAGAGGTAAATCTATTTTCATAGATAAACAAACACAAATTTATAGCACGAATATATTGTCAATTAAGATATATTCAATCATAAGTCCAGTTATATATGAATACTTATCAGGCAAAAGCCACTCTCTTCTTTTAGAATCTGTTTCTTTCACTTTCAGTAGGCAACGGGTGGAGCTGCATAGAATTTGGATATGTAAACTAAACTCAACATAGCCTTTCTAAGCTACTAAGGTTCTGTTTTGCCAATAAATAAGCCAAAAGGATGCTTACGATAGAATTGCAAAAAGCAATCCATGATTTGTAGAGCTTACTACATGAAACTATATAATTTAATTTATAATATACACGTTTGTTTCAAAATTTGCATGTTAATTTGGCTCGGTGAAATGTTAGCAGATTTAACATGAGAATAGCAGCCTTACCTGACTTGATGTTGTATGTTAATCGTAGCCACTTATTCGTAGAAAGTTCCAGTATAGGAACAGTCTCCACTCTGCGATCAGGATGAATATGGGAAATTGCCGATGATCGAGGCCTTTGAGCATTTACAATAATAAAATTGCACTCAGATTGATTGAACTGGATCTCTAACTGATCTATCTCAATTGGAGAAGGCAATTGTGATAAAAGTGACAACGTAATCAGGGTAGGTGCATGGGGCTTAACAATCTGTTCGTGAAAAGCTACTGATGTAAGAAGGACTACTCTAAGGGGACTAACAAGATCAATTTCAAGATGAAGGGGATGCTCACTGTTTACTTTCATTTCCATGTTTTCTTCATTCAATATAACCCCTGATTCTTCTCGAACAATTGCAAATACTTCTTTGTGTATAATTTCTACCTGCTGGAGACTTGGGGAACCAGCAGGCCCACAATCCTTCAATGATTGAAGACTGGCAATAGATGAAACTGGCAAGGCAGCCATTTCAAGTGAATATGCTATAAAATCTTGAGCCGAACCAAGTTTCCTTGAGCACTCTCGCAGATAACCCAGCACCTCCCATAACAAAGTGACCCAACCCTCTTGCCTGTAAAGACTCGTAAGTTTCTCAAAATGGTTTTTTGCATTACTATATTCACTTGAAGCAAAATACTCTTTTGCCATTAGAAGCATGCAAAAAGCAGCTGCCCTTTGAGCTTTCAAATTATGGTATGCTTCAGATGATCTTTTAAGCAACCCAATGATTTTGATAGAGTCCCTGAACTTCTTCTCTTCAGCAAGAGCAAAGCGGATGTAAACTTCATCTGTAATACTGGAGCATCAAAAGAGTAACGTATGTAACCATATATAACGAAACTATCACACATGGAATAATAGCAAAGTTTTGTATGTGTTTTTAAAGACATACAGTTGCATCACAGACGTGTCCCCGAGTTCAAGTAATCGAACAAACTGACCCACGTAAAGAGAAGGCACGACGGAATCCGAAGTCTCATCAGTCTCGGAACTAGCTTCGGACATGGATAGAGCAATTTCTATACTTGTCTTCTTCTCCTTTAAAAATTGAGCAGCAAGCTGTGTGTGGTAACATGTAGATTATGGATTTGATATAGATTATGAATTTAAAATCATCTCGCTTAGTCCACTACTGGCCACAATCCCCAACCACCACATATAGACTACTCACAAAAAGAAATGCTCATTCAATGAATTTGATAGTGATGCAACACTTTGTATTTGTATAAGGGGTAAGTTGAGTGTGTCCTCAATTCGTTAACAATGCACGTTTCAGTTAGCAGCAAATGTAAGGAGGCTAAGCAAGTCGTGAACTCATGATGCAAGTTCACCAAGAACAAATTATCATCTATATGTTAAATATTTTAATTAGGGTGGTGTTATATCTGTTACTTAGGGCCTGTTTACCAAATTTTCCATTAAGTTATGTATTGATAAATTTGTCGGTATAGATAAAAATTTGTTTTATCTTTTTTACCTGAATCAATCGTCTAAATGACAATAATGACCGATGTACCCCTCAAACATGTTTGAACTTTATAGCAGTTCAATCAAACTCAAACCAAAAATCTATTGTTCATCAAACCGAAAAGCTACCAATCTATCAAACTATTTGAACATTAAACATAATAATCAAACATTTGAACATCAGATTATCAAAACATAATAATCAAACCATTTAAACACAAAAAAAGCACTGCTACAAGAATCGAATCAAAATCAAAACAAAAGGCTGTTTAATTATCAAACCAGTAAAACTGTTGTTCTTCAAACCAAAACCTAAAAATACCCAAAATAATCCACACAAACACAACAATACCTTGGAATCGATTCCTGATACTTGTTATATTTGCTTACGGCTCTTCGATCGAAACTTGTTCTTGTCATCGATGGTGCAATGGGGGAGGAACAGAGCAAAGTCAACAGTCGTAGGGCAGCAGCAATGAAGGAGGAGTCGAGCAGCAGCGACGAAGGAGAAGCAGGGACAGAGGAGGTGCAGCAACGGAGGAGTTGGAAGGATGGAGGAGTTGCAACGACGAAGGAGGTGCGGCGATGGGGTCACTGGACGTCGGAGATGAGCAGCAACGACGGGGAAGGAGAACTTTTTCTCTGTGGCTAGGGTTTGAACTTTGAAGGAAAGCGCTGGAAGGAGGTATCGACAGGAAAAATTGGTACCTGTGATGATGAAAACCCAAGGAAGAAGGTCGTCGGCTGGAGAAAAGTTCCGGAGAAGAGGTTTAGCGATAGGGAGAACCGGAGAAGTAGAGAAAGGCTGCCGGAGAAGAGGCGCAGCACCATTCTAGAAGCGATTTGGCTAGGGTTTGAAGTTAAATGAAGGGAGGGGGGGTTGAAGGGAGAGGTGTGGGATTGAGGGGGTATAATTGTCAATATTTTGGCTTAATGGGGACAACACACCCCTTCCATACTGTGCGAATAAGCCCATATATTTATCATTAAGCCGCAAGTAAACATCCATATATGGCTGTGCGAATAAGCCAAAACATCCCCTTAATATGTCTATATACATATATTTGCTGATAAGGAAGCATGCATGGTGGACTAACAGTTGCAACTTTTATGACGTTAGAATGCCTAGTATCAATCAATTAAAGAATTTTTTAATAAATTAAATTGGTTATTTACGATATCTATAATATTTTAGTATATTACCTATAAACAAAATGTTAAACAAATATTCAAATTTGTGAAGGATCACACAGAATAATATTCCTCCATTCTTCCATCAATTCTAAGGATTGACCATAGGATCGACTTCATTTTGTTAATTGGTTCCCCATGCACCTTAAAATGGGTTCTCATAAATTGGATGCTCAGAGTTTGTAAGGATTAATAGTGGAATTGATATCACTGTTCAGGCATTTGGGCATTTCAAATGCAAAGAAAACCAAGGTTTAGTGGTGGTAGCCTTGTAGCACTACATATCTTCATGTGGGAGTGACATTTTAAGAGGTGTGGCCCATAACAATTATTATGCTTATCATATGTATTGACTGTGGTATAGGGGTGTTTTTCTCTAGTTCTCTTTTGGGCATCTTGCGAGTGTGAGGATGCCTAAATGGGATTAGAGTTGGTGTGTCTCCACATGCTTCAAGTTCTATGATTTTCATTCTTAGCATATTTCTTCTACCTATCTCCAATTTCTTCTATTAATAGAGTTTTCCACATAAGCAATTCTGATGTAAGATTTTCGCTGATTTTTGTTCTTCACAGTCATTTCTTGAAACAGGATTTCTTAACTAGTGATGGAAGATCCTATTTGTTAATAATGTAAACAAAAAGATCAATCATAAGATCTACACACAATAAAACGATCAATCACTAGAGTGGATGCAGAAAAGCTTGGAATGGGTTCAAAATTTTGCCATATGTCCTTTCCCAAGAAAACAAGCATGCATATCAGGAAAAGGCCATTTTCAGACAAACATATGCTGTATGTAAAAGAAAGTTCGTTAAACCAACTTGCCTGATAATAATACGCAGGGTAGAATTCCCACACAGACGACGTTCTATCTGCAACACTTAATGTTGGAGAGGAATTGTTTTGCATAGTTGCATTGCTACTTTCAAGCAACTCAGCAAATACCAAAAATTGCCTACTTAGCCAGTCCCAATGAAGAAAACTAACTTCTGGAGGCCCCGTGAGCTTCTTATAAGAAGCATCGTGCTGGCGAAACCATTTGATTGCTTCTACAATCTTTCCTCCATGTAAAAGTAATGTTGATATCTTGAAGTGGAATTGCTCTGCAACCATTTTGACCTCGACCAAGCGTTGCACTGCTGGCAATCTAGTGGACGTCCCAATCATCTGTAGTTAGAATTGTTAGTAAACAGATGCTACATATGAATTAAGTGAAACCCGACTACGCCAAACTCCTAGATAGTGTTTAAGGAGTTTCTCAAGAAAAATATTAGCTATGGTCAACAAGCTAAGAAGCATAGGATTTCATAAACTATGCAGATAACTGCCAAGATCTACAATTATTACATTATGATACATGAAGGCCGCCACATCAGCCTATATTTAATTCAGTCCTGACTACAAAAATGCCTTTCTTGATATGTGCATAGTTAGTAACCTCCTTGCAGCCAATTATGATGGTTTACAGATAAATATCAATCTGTGTCATAGAAAGGTGGCCGCTTCCTGTGTCACAATGTTCAAGAATCAACCAGATTCACAAAACAAAGGTATAGTTCTTAAGGCTTGGATTCCGGTGAGAAGGGAAGTTATGGTGAGAAGCGTAAGAAGAGATCTCCACTCTTGGATCAATCCTAATTGAATGTCAACACTAATGAGGTGCACTGAGATGCATCAAATCAATTCCTCAATAAAGCGCAATGGGTAGACATGAGATTAAAAGAGATCAAGGGTTCAGATCTCTTCTTACGCTTCTCACCTTAACTCTTTTTCTCACACGACCCTTTGCCTAGTTCTTAAACCTTAATTACACCTTAATCCTAAATTAATAGATGGAGAACCAATTAAAATAGAGATAAAAACTGAGGCAACCAGTGTGGTTTGTTATTTACTCAAGCTTTTTGTTACAAACGTGGGAGAGCAAGCTTCAACAAGCAAATATGGCAATGACGTTACGGATGGACTAGAAAAGGTGAATGAGATGGCTTTGAAAAAAATGAAAGAACAAGAACCTCTCGCAGTGCATGGTAGCCATCCTCGTACATCCTTAAAGCTTCGACCCAGTCTCTCCTGAATTCTGCATATATAGCAACCTAGAGATTGGATTCAGAGAGAAAGAGAGCAATTAGAACATATACCAAACCAAACGAGCTCAGTATATCCCACCCGGAGGTGGTGTCGGAGGGGGTCATGATGTACATAGACCTGACCTCTACCCCAAAGAGTAGAGCAGTTGTTTGCGTGGAGACCCCAGCTTGCAAAAATTGTGTGGAAGAGAGAGAAACAAATATGATAATTTTTTGAAAAGCTTGTCTTAAGAAAGGCAGAGTAATTAAAACATGTCCATGCAAAGGTAAGAGCAAACAAAGGACCTCAGTAGCTATTCAGAACAATAAAAATGTTACTTGCATCACTTTGATCCATGAATAGTTTTTTCCAGATAATACACTTGATCTGTAAAGAGATGGCTAAATATCCATCACCTTCATAGATATGTTGCTCAAGAACATAAAACTACAATGCCTACTAAGTAGTCATAGCAATATTATATTTTAGTGGTACACGAACATTTGATAGGTTTATGTACATCCAATCTTCTTTTTATAGGGATATCATTAGAGACCAAGAGCAATCTCGAAGTTTATAGAATGATAATGCAAAGAGGGAAAACACTTGAAGTCCGAGAAGCATATACATGAAGAATGATTATTCCCAAGTGTTTAACTAATTTAACTTCCAAAAACTAAATCAGTCATAAGCTAAGACTGGTCTACTATATGTTAATACCCAATTTACATGGAAAGATAATTGTGTATAGCAGGGCCGAGAAAGGAACTAATCATGGTTCATGGCATGTTCTTTTCATGGTACCTCTTCAACAAGATAAGCCAATAATTTAATCAGGAAGCATGCTGATTGCAGTGTATTAAATCTTTAGGATCAAATTACACTTCAAAGACATTTCCTTGCATTTACAAATCATTGTTCGTTCTCTAATTTTCTGCCTCAAATATGTTTAATAGCCAAGCAGATGAAACTTAAAAAAACCAACCCTAGAAAAAGCTTCTACAAAAATTAACAGAACGACTTTCTTACTTTAAAGCAGTAGCGGATATTGTATTCTATGGAGCCATAGTTCTTCTTTTCAAGACGCATTTTAACCCTTCTTCCTTCATCCCTGTAAAACGTAACAGCTAGCTCTGCAAATGTGTTTCCTAGCCTACATTTGGATTAGTAAGTAAAGACAATAAGGTGTAGTAATTAACCATGAAAGAACATTGGCATGTACAAACAAAGACAAATTACATGCCTGTTCAGGGACTGAATCAATTCAGAAGCATCGTCTGGGATAAAGGTAATGACATACTTTGCATCTAGCTCAGCACGCTTGCGCAGAGCAACCAAGCGATCTTCAGTGATAGAATCTGTACTAAAAAGCTTATCTCACCAACAATGGGACCTTATAAAACTAATTGCTTTAAGCGAATGAGACCTTATAATTGTCTATGTTTATATGCATGCATGAATATATACCCACATACATTATGTTTGTTAGTGTTTGTATGTGTGTGTGTGTGTGTATATATATATAAATAGATAGTGCACATTCATGTGTATGTAATACCAAGATTTCAAGTACCATATGCGAAGGACATAACAAGAAGCCTAAATCTTGCATTTAAGGGGAAAATACCCACATCATCACATTCATCTAAACTATTATGGATATTATAGTCAAGGCCAGTAAAAATGACTACAGTCACTGAGGTGGTACACCCTGTTGCGTGAAAGACCTGAGCTGTATTTACTTGCATTACTGCATGGCATAATAACATTATATATATATATATATATATATATTCTAGCCATTTTCAAGCTTTCCATCTTATAATTTACCATTATCTCACTGCACACTTGTAGCCCGAGAATTAACCAATGAATACAGTGCATCAAGTTAATATTTATCCATGTTTACTAATAAAAATTACTCCCCCTGTTCCAGTAGAATCGCAACATGTTCCTTTTTGTTATGTCCACCAAAATTGCAATATCTCCTTTTTAGAAAGGAAAAAAAGCCAAAAGTGACAAACCGACAATCTTACCTCATTTTAGAAATCCCTAATTATATCAATTTAATTTTCTAGGATTTACTTTCTAATTGAAAATGTGAAAACTTCCTCCTCCTTTTTTCCCTCTCGAATCAGGAACCCCTTTTATGATCAAAATTGTCTTCAACTTATATTTTCATGTTCTCTCAATCAGCATATATGGTGGGCTCTGTCATTATGTCAAATTAGATCAATAGCGCCTTTTCATTCTTCTTAAATGAAAATGGCTAATCTTCAGCCTTATTCAATACAAATATAAAAATGGGTGTCAGTTAATATTAGTTGATATGCAGTCAGCGCTCTTAAGCTCTGTCAAAGCTAAACCTTAGAATTACCATGGGATGGATAGACTGCATGTCATTCACTATAAACAATACTAATTACATGGTTAGGGAGAGGTTAAGAGACCAAACTCACATTTTTTTGTTAACTTGAGGAGAACGCACTTCAATAGGAATCAAAGCATATAAATTTGGTATTGATGATATTCATAATGTTCAAAGCATAAGTATTCACAGATAAAGCAACTAAAAGGTAAACTTCAGGGATTATCTACAAATTATATGAAGTTCCAAATTACTCAACCATTGTACGCAGGTAAAGCCACTTACCCTTAGAATTAAACTGCACAACGACAACCACTACCAGTTTGATATTCCTCCCTCTAATCACTGTTCTGTCGTGCATAAGAACGTATAAGCGAACACATAGATTAAGCCATAAAGATACTTCCTCCGTCCAAAAAAAGCTAGAATTTGGAATTCAGATGTCAAACCTGCTAGTTTTGGAAATTAATTTGTTTCTATCGCCAATTCGACACCAACATTATTTTGTAATAAAGTTTAAATGCAGTTAGAATTTCTTGTGCAAAGTCAAATCCAAATCATTTCGAGTTAAAGTGAAGCAAACTCAAGATTTAACTCAGAACGGAGACAGTATCATAACAAAGAGGGGGGAAGTGCAAAAATGGCATACTTGAGGTTTTCGAGATCGGTGCAGACCTGAAGCCACTGGGCGGGGTCACCAGACAGTTGATCGGAATCGAAGAGAGCTGCAACAACTGCAGGAACCCTAGTACGATGCTTCACGAGCCAATCTCTTTTAAGAATGCCGCTAGAAGTGTAACCTGCCGGCAATGGATTTTCATTTTCCTTAGTGTTTTTGCCTATGACGGAGATCTTGGAGAAATCCGGTAATGCGAGTGTATTGATCGGCGGTTGTTGGGAGTGGAGGTGAGTTGAGATCGTGGCGTGGAGGTCCTGGTAACCGACGATTGATACTAGTGTAACCGGTGGTGTTCGGAGTGCTTCGGTGTAATTCTCCATGTTTGTGAGAACTAGGGTTTTGAAGAGGACGGAGGAGGTGGTGGAAGGAGGAGGATGGCGGTGGTTTGTCGGCGATATTCAGCGGAGAGCTGATCTGAGTAGTACGTGGTTGCGATGTGTTTCTTAAGGTGTCATTCGAATGTGGGACTCAACGAGTTAACTCGTTCGCCAACACATAACAACACCGAGACAACAGTTTCTTTGTACAATTGTTCATATTCATGTTTTTATTTTTATTTTTATTTTTCTTTATTTATAAAATAATTATTTAATAAAAAAATTCATTACTCTCTATTATTAATATTAATAATAAAATTTATAATTATTATATAAGTGTGTGTGATTTTTATTATGAATGTTTATTTAAAAAAATCAATATTCTTTTAAATTTTGATTTTGTTTCAAGGGTTGCCCCAAGGCCAACGAGGGCGGATCCCCTCGACCCTATCTTTGAACCCACCTATTTTTTATTAACCTGGATATTCAACTCGTTATGCGGGCCGACTAATCCCAAGACGACCACTTACTTTGCAAATAGCCTGAAGTCATTGCATTTGAATCTCCGTAACCATAAGGGGATTTTTATTCCTCCTTGGATTTGAACTCAACTTTGTGGTTGTTTCTTTTTGGCTTTAAGATAAAACCATTATACACACCAAACCAGGTTAGTAGTAATCAGTGCAGGTTGATTTTTTTAGCATTAAGGGGTAGATTTGTTTTGAAATATCTTTAACAAACTCGGATGTTCGATTGTTTGTGAGGTGTTATATTTTTTTTTCTTAAAAGCATGTTGAACCAAGACACCGAAGCAAGGTTGAGACCTATGGGATGACATTGACTTTAAAAAAGCTAAGATAACATTGATTGAACCTTTCGCATGCTTTTTTATGTACCATGTTTGATGTATCGTGGTAAAGCTAAACAACACAAGCTCTATTTTTTTCCCCAATTCACCTAATTTCTACACAAAAGTGATATCTCTAAGATGACTACCGCCATTTGATATATCATAAACTACTGCTAGGGGCGCTGCCTCTTGGACCCCGTATGCGGCCCCTTTGACTCCCACATACAGCATCATTCGGTGATCCTATTTCTAGTTAGCTTGGACAACTATACATTCTATACCTCTTAGTCCGTGATATAGCTAATTATCAACCCCATATTCTCTTGTGAATCCGATTATATAAAATAAACCAATGATTTCACTAAAGTCACCAACAAAAGTCCCTATATCTTAAAAAAGACTTGGTTTTACAGAAGGATCAACGTGTCTAAAGAAAAAGCAAAACAAACCTCTTAAGTTCCAACTTCTGTTCACTAATAAACAATTGGTCTAATACTTGGTAATATTCAAACAAATCATTAGTTGTGTTTGAACAGGTAGGTGACGATGTTGTACTGTATGCTGATAAACAATCTAGAAATTTGGATGCATGGATGACGAGTTTGGTTAAGGGTGTTGCAAACGTTAAGCGTACGAGGAACATACTAAGTCAGTGTTTAGTAATTCATATATGAATGTTTGTTTAGAACTTAATCAACAAAGTTAGTGACTTAATGAATAAGTCACCTTGGTTAAACCTTCATATTTGGTAACATTTTTTCCCTTTCATATCTACATGCATCTACAACCTCAGTTAAGCATACTTAACAAACAGTTTCAGACATAAGCTTTATCCATATAGATATCTTTATTCGACCAAACTTATTCAAAAGACTCAACCATTTAGGACTTCTGGAGACTTACTACAAGCAACAATTTTTTTATATCTTGCATCAATATCTCGTCTTTCCGAATAATGTGAAAATAAGAAAACACAATAATACGTTTAAACTTCATAAAACTAATCGATACTCAAGTGACAGAACACGTTAAATACATGATAAACTCCATGTTTTTTTTATTAACCTGGATATCCAACCCGCTATGCGAGCCAACTAATCTCAAGGCGACCATCTGCTTTGCACGTAGCCCGGAGTCACCGCATTTGAACCTCCGTGGCCACAAGGGGATTTTTGCTCCTCCTTGGATTTGAACATGAGACCTCCTGACACTTTTGACTTTGGAGCCAAGCTTAAACCAATCAGACACCATCCTTGTGATTGATAAACTCCATGTTTAAACAACCCATAACCCACTATTCTATTTCCAAATATTTGATCAATCAACTATATTACTCTTAAATTTATATATATCAGTCAATTCATAATTCAAGAGTCTCGATAATTAGCTCTCGGTCTTCCGGTCGCAAAACAACGTCGATGAAGACGTGTCGGCTCATAGAAATAAAATCTAAAGAGACACAAAACTAAACTAAACGAGATTAAGGGTTCGAGTTCTCAACTATACACTGTCACAACTAGTCATCTTAACAAAGAAAACACACCCATGGTTGAAATACTTGCAAAAAGTGCTACAAGAAAACAATAAGACTAATGTTCATCCATGGAAACATAACAACAAAATCAAAGAATCCATAAATTTGGCTTTTTACAGAAGCCAATATCTAGATTTGATCTCATGATTAAGCCATCAACTCATAAGAGAAATCATGCATAAATATAAACTGTTTCTTACTAAACCCAAATAAACAGGTCTTATTTATGTTCGCTTCACTTGTTTGAGACTTGGCTTGAACCAGGAACCGAATCAAGAGTGGGTACGAACCACTAGCTCCCATTTTGCAGTCAAATTGAAATTTTGGAGTACATTGGTTATATGGCTCATAATGGATAACACAAAGCTAAGCAATGGACCCTAGTGCGCACGCACCAGGGTCTAGTTGACGATTGAGGAATCATATGTTGATTCGCTCGTTCATGACTGCTAGGAAACCAGATTCCAGCAATCTTGTTAAGGAGACATGTTTGTCTGTTACCAGCTATAAATGCAGTCTTTGCACTTTTAACCTCGTACTCCGGGCTTCAGAGTTCCGACTTCTGATAATTGACTCGATTTGACCCTCGTCCACGACTTCTCATGGCCTGCAAACAAATTTACATCAAAAAGTAATGTGCTAAAGAAGATAAATCCACTAAAATTTGCAGGGAGAAGAAAAGTCGGTTTGTGATTGATTACCTCTTGACAGTAACGGAAATTCATCCAAGGCGAAAAGTGAAGTCTGCCGAAGTACCAAGTGATAGTCATCCTGCAAATAAGGCTTGTTAATACAAGTAGAAAGGAAAGAATTACGGTATACGGTAAGAGAAGGCACCTCGGAAAATTACCAGTTCCTCTACCAATCAAATCCTCTTCATTCGGAACCAGCACTCCGGGAGAACGAGGAAGGATGGGCGGGAACTATACTCCTTGCCTGCCCAAAAGATGGTGGAGCAACACCTGAGAAAACCAAAAAGTCGATTTATGAATACCTTAACTTACATTGTATATCATTCTATTCTAGTGGTAAAACTCGTGGATCATTGTTTGAAATTGAAATTTTCATATAATCGACATGTTCCCATTAATACCGAACAAAGGAAACATATGTAAGTAAATCCGACCACAAGTATCTAGAGGTGCATTTGGTGAGCCGTGTGTGGACCGAAATGGACAAATGTAAGTGAGGTAGGGGGGTGAGAGAATTGTGGAACATTTTAGGGTTTTAATTTGACATAAGTAGTTTGGCAATTTACAAATCTTCTCCCATCTCCCTGATTTTTGTTCCACCTATTTTGATCCACTTCCATCCTGTGGGACCCTTCTGTTGATTTTGTTCCTTATCAAGATCCGTTTCCATGAACCTTCCAGGAATAAGGAGAACACTTTTCTCTTCTCAAAGCTACGATAATTTAACAAGTTTTTGTTCTGTCCTATCTCACATACCAAGCACACACTAGAAGAATAAGGAATAAGGTTGTCTCTAACGGGCGCTCAAATATCATACTTTCTTCTCTCATTGAGAATAGTCCTTCCTTCCCAGGGAATTTTAATTCCAAGAAAAATAACAAGTGTATGTACACAGGTATACACAAAAGATGACCAAAGAATCATCTTCATGGACCATAGTGTTGTTATAAAGTACGAAGAAGAACAGGTGATGGAAATAGGAAAAGTTGCCACAATGAATTTCATTGATTTTTGTAAAATCCTAATCCTGTTGGTAATTTTATTTATTACTACACAGTCTGATAAAGATTTTCTGGTCTATGAATATTGAAAGAAATTATGCTTCACTAATTTCAAATTCTTGTGTGAATGTGTACATATAAATACATATGTATGTCTACAGATACATATACATGTCTAGTCGATATCTTTCTCTCTATATACATGTTCGCCCACCCACCCATATGTATGTATGTATGTATATATACGCGTTGGGTCGGGTTCCGGTGAAAACGGAAGTTATGGTGATAAGGGTAAGAAGGCATCTCCACCCTTGGATCAATCCTAATTGAAGATCAATAGTAATGAGATGCACCGGATCAATTCCCATGAGAAGCGCAATTCATGGGGTGGGAATGGGATTAGAAGTGATCAAGGGTCCAAATCCTTCTTATGCTTCTCACCTTAACTCCTATTCTCACATGATCCTTCGTCTATATATGTTTGTGTGTGTATATATATACATATTGTGTATATGTATGTAGAAAGAGGGGGTGGCGAGGGAGAGAGAGAGCTATTGGCTATTAATTAACATAAAAAATTATACAATCTTTAAATCCCTTGTTTAGAATAAAATGTATGTAAAAAATTAACCTACAAAATAAAATATAAAAAAACAATGATAAAAAGAAGAAAACTTGGTGGGAACTTTAGACACAAATTGCTTGCTCAATTACTTATTGAGGTGGATAGGATTGTTAAAAAGTAATAGCATTTTCTTTTCTTAAAGAAAATATTTCATTACAAGCTTTCACTAAGGTTGATTTACTTGACATTCAACCAACCGATTCTCATGTGACTCTAACCATCAAACTCTACCCAGATGATGATATAGCGAACCACAAAAGATTGGCAGAAAATGGATAATCGTACAGACTTATTAAATTTTCAGTGAATATTTTGCACCAGTGCACCTTCCCCCTCATATTAGTCATTAGGGCGCATTGCTTCAGGTCTTAAGGTATCTCAAAGGTGCTCTTGTTTTATACACACATCAAGAATAGACTTGGGTCAAGATGCAACTGTTATGTGAGTCATGAATGATAAATATCCTTACATAATCAGATTTGAACCTGGAAATGTGTGTTTAAGAGAACTGACATGGGTACAAAATTTAATGCAAAAGTTTTAAGATTTTACTTCTATTTCCCGAAGATGTACAACAATAATAAGTAAGCCATGCAGATCTTGAAGAATCATATATTTCGAGTGTAACAGGCATGTTTAGTTGGATTGTCACTTTGTACATAAGAAGGTAGTTGGTACTTCTCATGAACCTTCTAATCTATTCAATTGGTTTGGGTGTGTTCTGGAGATTAGATAGTCAAAATTTTAATGAAGCCTCTTTGCGAAACACATACAGATCCTAGATGTAGCAAGTTAGGTATGATTGACATGAGGTATTTTGAAGATATAAAATCTGTCATTTGCAATTATCTTTAAGATTTGTCTAGGGTTCTTTATTTCAGTCCTTGGTCCAATTTGCACTATTTATTCCCATATGATTTGATGACTTTGTATGCTATTCATTCCCATTTTGACACTTAAAAGATATAAATATGTAAGTTGCTTCTATTATTATCTTTAAGATTTGCTTACGTTTTCTTTATTTCAGCTACTGGTCCAATTTGTACACTACTTTATTCCCATTTTGATTGATGATTTTTTACACTTTCCAAGAACCATAATACACACACACACATCTATACAATATCTATAATGTGTCTTGTTTAGAGTGAGTCAAGATACAAGGTTGCATAAATACTGTGAGTGAACGCATGTGCAACTCTTTAAAAAACCGAAAATACTTACAGTTTTAGATGGTTCAAAAGGAAAAAGTTTTACCTGTAAGGTATGGTGTTGGAGGCATTGGAATAATATCTGTGGTTGCTCCGCTTACATTAGGTCTACCGTATGGCAGAACATTAGGACCAGGTGTTACCATTCCCTGAATAGCTCTATACCCTGGGCTGCCAGGGGGAGGAGGCCCCATTTGACCATATGAAAAAGCATTAGGGTTAACCAAACCAGGAAGGCCCAACATCTGTGGGTGATGCTGGCCCGCATAAGGATTATATGGAACCTGAAAAATAATGAATTACTACATACAAAATTACAAAAAAGATCCTATATCATACTTGTCGAATAATATGCTATCTATCATAACCAATGAGCTTCAAAGAGCACAAGAACATCAAGGTTATTCACCTGAGGAAAGACATATTCGGGCCCATAAGCTGGATACCTGTCAAAAACCAAGTTATTAATAAATTGAAATCTTCATGAAGAACAACATGCCACTATGATAGCCAAGTAGAAAAATCTGTGGAGTTTATTTATGATACTGTCCTCTTCCCAAGAAAATTGGAACACATGACCAGGCAAATGGTTTTATGAAATTGACCAACTGTTAGCCAAATGTCCAAAATGTCCTTCAGTAAATAAGGAAATCTTGTTGACAAAAAAATCAATAGCATCATCAAGTTGTAATGATGACAATAGAAAATACGTAATACTAACTTCAAGTTTTGAACTTTTTGCTAAAAATGAAACGTTGAAGTAAACAGGTTCTTTTTTATGCCTAGTCACGTAAGGTTTTAAGGTCAGCTATTACAACACCAAAAAAAACAAATCGAAACCACAATCATCTAATTATTTCAAAAGGCAACATAGTTATGCCTTCAAGATTGCAGAAGAATGCATCAATAAAAAGGTGATGGAAAAACATGGTATCATATACATGCACACCTGAAAGCTAATAACTCAAAGTACCGGAAATTTATGGAAACTTCTGAACTTCAAAAAAATTTCAATAAAAAAAACTACTTTTAACATAATAACTCACCCATAATAAGGGTATTGCTGATAACCATAAGGAACTGGTTGGCGGTAACTCGAGCTCCCTACAAAAGATCCCCCAGGGTTCTGGGAACTCCAGAAGTACTGCCCCGCTGGTCTCAGATGTCCTATAATAAAACCAACATGAGTGCTCACATGTTCATTTCATTCACTTGTATTATACTGAAAGAGAATACAAGAAAGAATCAAAAGTTTCATGTATCCAAAATCCCAGTTCAAAATCCTTAGTAACCTCCTTGCCATTTTGGAACTTAGAATTCTTAAAGAGAAAAGGGTGCTTTGACATCTTAATTTTATATAGTTGGCGAGAGAAAAGTGTTGAAACCAAAAATGGCAAGTGCTGGTAGTTTAAGGCGTTAGAGTACATGGCTGAAAAATGTTGTATTGATCCAAATGAATACTTTCGATATATCCATTCGATGTCTACATTTAACCCCCTCATTGTCACCTCAACTGGTGCCTCACCAACTTTTAGCTGACTTCACTACATTCCCATGTTCAAATTTTGAAAATATAAAGGATGAGCAAAGATAAAATTAACTGAGGTTCAAACAAACCCTACCATAAGTTAAAGAAGGTTGGGCCCGTCCAAGCGAGGCCAGATTACAGTTTGCTCTTCTACCATCAATAACCGGAGTAGGATCCGCACAGGCCCTCTTTGCAGCTTCAGCATCATTGAATGTTACCTAAGCTCCACAAGAATCACAACCAAAACAGTCAGAAAATATATCACCTAGGTGACACAATAAGATGGATTTACGAAAGAGAAATAGAAAAAGGTGAAAGGGATGTCAACCTAAAAGGACATTAACAGCAATTACGGTTTTATGGTCTAGACAAGGTCAAATATATGATAATTAATTTTATATTTCATAAATTATGTCTGCCTTTATATGAACCAAACATTTAACATGCATATATGCATATGCTATGCTTATTTAGACTTCAATATTACATAACAAAGTACCACAAGATCTATATAATCAAGAGAAATGAATATTTCCCCGATAAGACATAAATAAATCATGCATGCAAACACATACAAATATTACGAGTACTCTTGCAGTCAGATATAAACATGCCCATCTCTGAAGCAGCAAAAAGACAAAAAAAAGTTGAAATTTTAAACAAACTCCTGAGTCCTGACATAATTCGTTATTTTAAGGAACTGTTTTTCAAGTATGATACTCAATTTATGTTTGATCTTTCAGTTCTTAATCCTCCATGATACATAGAGGTGGTATTCTGGTTCAGGATACAAATTTTGTTAACTTCAGTCATATAGCAAGAAATTTCCAAAACTAAGAAGCAAAGAAAATACTACCTCCAACCAAATTCTAAGATACATTATAACAAAGCAATAGTTTTCCATCTAATATCCAATATGGCATTATTTCACATGTAATTTGAAGAAATTGTCCTTCCAATATACCTGAACATACTACCCTCTTTCTCCATTAATTCTAAACAAACACATAACAATTTTAGATCCATAAGTATTTTGATCCTTTTACCACAAAATTTATATAGTATCTCTAGTGTTGGCACCTAGCACTGACGAAATTCATGTAATAAGCACTTAAAGAACGAAAAACAGGCATAAACAAACATCGATAGTGAGAGATCAGAGAGTAATTTACACCCAAAATTTGATGCAAAACCAACAGCTGAAAAAACGAAAAGTTTTAAATTACTTACAAATCCATAGCCTTTAGATCTCCCTGTATGTTTATCAGTGATGACAACAGCCTCCAATATATCTCCAAATTGATCAAAATAACCATGCAGCGTCTCACTCTGCGTCTCCCATGCCAGCCCTCCAACAAAAACCTTAGTATGCGTGGTGTCTCCAAATTGGAAATTTAAGAATTGCAAACCTGGTCCGTTTCCTCTAATCGGTTGATAAGCAGCCATTGATCCAAGTATAACTGTATATAATATATATATATATATATATAATATAAATGAATTGTATCTATAAACAACAAATCAAGAGCTGATTTCAATTGGTTGATTTCCCATTGTAACGCGTGAAGAGAAACCCTTGTAGAACCCTAAAAGGATTGTGGAGAAAGATGCAATGATTGAGTAATGGGGGTATTTGAATATTACGGGCGGAGAAAGCATCTTCGTGGAATTATTTGGCGAGTAGTGGGAGATTGAAGGCTGCTGACGTTAAATCAATAGTTACAATTTAGTCCCTTGATTATGATTTATTGACATATGGAGACATAATGTTTTTTAAATCTTCAAATTACACCCATCCTCATTATTTAATTTGCATTTTGGTTATGATTATGCCTCTTTGGTGTCTCCTTATTTGTTTTTTCTTTCTTTCACACTTTTATTCATCATGAAAACGGTTGTTTTACTCTGTAAAATAGAGGTCAGATTTTACATGCATCTGATCTTTTTAGATCTATCTTCAGATCAGATATATTATCTTATGAAAAATGGATTTTTGTTGAATGTAGAATTTTGTTTGAAAGTATGTTACATAAAATAAAAATTGAGACAAAATACATTGCATTTTCATGTAATTTACTCTTATCAGATCAAAACCTTTATATTTTGAAGCTTTTCCTATCATTTTTTCTTTGTTTTTTTAATGAAAATGTTCTAAAAAACTTATTACAGTGTTTAAAATCGTTTTATAAACTTATTATAACGCCTTTAGATAGGACATCTTATTTTTTTGGTGCTATAAACTAAGTTGTATAAATTGGTCTATTAGGACATTTAGAAATTTGGTGTGTTCTGTAAACTCAATTTTGTTATAACGACAGTTGAACATAGTTTTCTTTGATTTGATTTATTCAAAAACAAAAATTATTTAGTGATCTTTCACTAACAAATTGTAAAAGTTGATTTGCATAGTTTAACCTATATCTGTATAAATAATTTTATATCGTCATTTGTGGCCGCTAAATTTTTATAATGTAATTTTTTGACTCCAAATTACAGTGTTTGTGTTCTGTATTTAATCGTGTATTCCTCTCTCCTCTAAAGTGTGCAAGGAAAATTATACATGATGTTATTAATTTATAAGCAGGGACGAAACACGATCATCATATCCAATAGACCAAAAAATGGTATGGTATATTTCGTGTGTTGATAAAGATGAAGATGTGTGGATTCGGAAATACGAAAACTCAACAACAGTTGTATATTTAATTTCGGTAAATGTTTTAATACTGTTAATTCAAGATCATGCACTGTTGTTCTAAATCGATTCTTTGTTATTTTGAATTGTGTGGTTTTATTCTGTTATGTTTTATTTTGAAGATAACGGACGGTACAAACTGTGTGGATACGCCACTGCTTGACATATTATACAATCTTGAAAACTAAGTATAATTGTTGTAAGGTTCTTGTTACACTCAATAGCATCTAATAAAATCACAACACGCTACAAAATATTGGGTAAACGTTGATCGAACAAGAAGCTCTAACCATGTAAATTAGGGGTTGTTTATTTACCTCTTAATAGTTCAATTAAGAGGCAGTTTCTGAATCATTAAGAGGTGAATCTTGTTTGGCAAAAAAAAAAAGCTGCCTCTTAATGGTTTTAAAACCCTCTGAATGATTTTGTATCATGAGTCTCCCTTAACCATTAAGCACCCTAATTTCATCGTAAGCAATTACCAAATAATAATATTTCATTTTGCACTATATCATGAGAGCCTCTTAACCATTCTGACCACTTAATAATTCGGCATCAAACCATTCAGCAACTACCAAACAGCCCCTTAGTCTACTCTGATTGGGTACGCAAGTTTCTTCATTCTTACCGAGTCATTATCTTGATCAACAACATTATCTCTTACCCGGTAGATACTACTTAGCTAGTAAGAGATTATGAGCGCTTAGTAAACAACCCCTAAACTTTAAAATGCCAATTATCTATACATTCTACCATTTGAATATAGTGGACGTGTCTACATACTCGTTAAGGTAGAAGACTAAAGGCCTGCTTGTTAGTAGCTTAATAAACTCTCATAACTTATTTGGCCAGCTATATATGTCTGTTTGGTAATGGCTTAATGATATAAAAAATGACTCATTCAGTAAGCTTTTTAAGGAGGGCTTTTTACGGAATGCCAAGTTTTTTCAAACATTTCCCTCTCAATTAAAAAACACACACCTTCCAAATAAAAACTTCTCCAATTCATACAGACAGATTAATCCATACAGACAACTTTATCCATATAAAACTTAATAAAAAAATCAATCTAATTTGCATACATCTCGATGTGATATAAAAAGAAAAGAAAACCCACTCTATCAGGGGCGGATTCAACATGTAAAAGGTGGGGGGAAGGGTCCCCCATTAAAAAATAAAAAAATGATTTTTTTTAAGGTTAAAAATTGTCTTTTTTACTTTCTACCATGGTTCTCATCCGTATTTTCTTGTTAGGGCCCCCACTAACTAAAGAAAGTATCTTGAAATCAACCAAAAAACTGAAAAGTTCATCGAAATCGATAAGAAAACCTTAAAAAATCCCTCGAAATAATCCAAAAAAACTTCAAAAATCTCTTGGAATGATGGAATTAGGCTTAAAACACATCGGACGACTTGGTGGGAGTTTAAGCTACCTTAAAGGTGCCCCACTAGATCAAAATCCTGGATCCGCCACTGCACTCTATGACCCATTGCTCAACTCCTCCATTTGCCAAATGAAAATCCACTCCCATCCATGGGATTAAAATCACATATTTGGTTAAATATTAAAACCAGCTCGAGCTTAAACATTAAAATTACATATTCAATAAAAATGTTAAACTAATAAACGAGAAGAGAAATTCGAGCTCAACCTTGATATCATTTTCTTGACGAAACCCAAACAACCTGCTATTCGACACGTTAAGACCCCTAGTCACTCATATATTGAACAAATAGAGGACCTTTATCTATACTATATTATAAAACATTTGACAAAAACTCTTAAAAACGATTTTTTATGCACAAAGTACTGTTTATTTATGATTACTTAAAATTTAAGATTACAAGTAAATTGTGCATAAGTACAACTTATTAAAGTTCCATACTTGAATTCGTCTAACTAAATGCAGATAAACATAATCAAATATTGGATAAACATTTCATTTTAAATATAAAAAAATTTAAAATATAATTAGGATAATCATTGAGTTCTAACAGAATACTTAGTTATTATCTTTATAAAAAATTATATTATTAAACCTAAATTAAATTTCTTTGTTACTAAAGCTAAATTAAATTATAATTAAAAAAATTTAATTAAGGAAATTACACCAAATCACAATAACTTTTAAAAAAATTAATTTAATACTGATATAGATATATATTTTTTAAAATTTTATGATATTTTTAAATTTATATTTCATTCAAAAATAAAAACATTATCACTTTCTCAAAACCACATAAAATCAATGCTTACTTAAAATTCAATATTACAAATAAATTATGCAAAAATACAACTTATTAAAGCTCGATGTTTGAATTCGTATAACTAATTACGGATAAACATGATCAAATAGAGGATAAACATCTTATTTTAAAATATAAAAATCTAAAATATAATTAAGATAATTATCAAATTCTAACAAAATAATTAATTATTATTTTTATAAGAAAATTATATTATTAAACCAAATATAAATTACTTCGTTATTGTATCTAAATTAAATTATAAAAAAAATTGAATTAAAAAAAATTACATAAAAAATGAGGAATTTTAAATAGTTAATTTGATACTAATATCGATATATTTTTATCAAAATTTTATGATATCTTCAAACTTATATTTTATTAAAAAATAAAAGCATCATCGCTTTCTCAAAATCACATACAACCATATTATTACATCGACTGAGATGAATAATAAAATTAAATATTAAAATCAAGATGTATTTCGCTGCATTGCGCGAATACCCTTCTAGTTAAGCATAACCAAAAGAGAAACCATAAACAAGTAGCTTAAGCTTAAAATTTTATAAAAAAAAAATGGTTGCAATCGCACTTCATAAAAAATCGTCACACGAGCAAAACATTGACCCGTTTCGAAAACAACTATGCTTATATCTTCGTAGAAACTTGACGAAAAACTATGCGAACAACGTAAAACAAGTAGAGAAGGCAACAATTCCGTAGCCTTTTTGATGTTTTCATGAACATCAGACTCACCACGAACGCAAACTATAAATCTGCAAAGAAATTACTTGCGGTATCAAGGCCTTTACTTCCTCCATTGTTCTTCCTCTTTGTGCCTAAACCAGCAAAAGCATGCAAAGTAGGTTAAAAAAACCAGGGATTATAACGGGTCATTGTTAATAAAAAGATATATCTGGTTTTCTCAAGTTAGAACTTAAATATCACGGGACCCGTAGTTGAAGTGGGCCATCACGGGGTTGGACTAAATGGGCAAGAGTGAGGTAGGTGAGCGAGAATTGTGAAAGGCTCTAGGGTTTTAATTTGAGATTGGTAGTTTAGTAATTTACCAATCTTGTTTAATCTCACTAATTTTTGTTTCACCTATTTTGTTGCGGCAAAAAAAGCATTTTTGTCCCACTCGGTCCTGTCATGTCCCGGTCTAATGTTGGGCCAAACGTCAGGCAACAAAATTTTGTTCCGTAATATCCCATCCTATCCCCCATGCCAAACTCATGAACCCAATTTTTTAAGAAACAGCTTTGCGAAATTCGTTTTTGATCTTATTGTTACTGTTTTGAGGACTGAATCCTTAAAAAAAATCAAGGAAATACACTACCTTTGGATGATTTTTGAAGGACATCATCGGTATCCGTATCCATCTCATCTTCATCACTGTCAGCAGCCGATTTACCCTCTACTTTCTTTCCAGAATCTTGCAGTAGACTATCGATATCCCACAGCTGCAAACACAAAACGGTGGAAGTTGGTTGCTTCTCCAATAAAAAAAAAGATGGAAAACTTTGCGGGCAATCGGACAATTATACAATATTTGCCTGGTGTAACACAAAGAACACACCTTCAATATCGAATCATGTGATATGCTTCCAAGAAACTTTCTATCATGAGAAAATGCTGAAACAAAAAGAGCACAAATTAGAGATAATCTTGTTGCAGAACATGGTAGTTATGGAGACGAATAAATCCCATATTGGTCCCCATTTGAATGAACATATATTTCACTTGATTCTTATTCTATCATCATGTGTTATTTCACTTGATAAACATATATTTGGTTCTCATGGTTCTCAACTTTTTGTGGTTCCCATTTGATTTTTCCCATATATAACATAGATGAATACATAATCCATATTCAAAAAACTATAAACGAAGCTTATTTGTGTTCCGATTTGATCTTTCCCATATATATATATATATCATGTAGATAATTTATAAATGTATAATTTATATATTCAAACCATAAACGAAGCTTACCAAGACGCTCAACAGGATACTCCGAGTGTTCTGCAATTGGCTGAATTACTCTGTTGGGTAATATACCTACCAAACTAAACACAATAAAAGAAAAAAGTTCATAAACTAATAGAAACTTGATTTAACATGATAACTACAAAAGCCTTCTCACCTAATAAGACCATTTTCAGTTCCAGTAATAACCCTCTCTTCATCAAGCTAAAGAAAATGGTAAAGGTAGATCAGTAATTTGTAATTATAACATCAGTAGGGATGACTAATGCTCGATTGAGATGCGACTGATGTCAACTTTTAACCCAAATAAAACTGTAAAAAAACAACAAACTCACCTTTAACAAGGCATTCACTGGATTTGGAGATAAACCGGTGAAGCGATCGCTGGAAATTATAAATAAATTAACATTTCCACAAAAAAAAAAAAACGATATTTTTCATGCTGCAGAGAAACTTCAGATTTCAAAAGCACATTGTAAATATCAAACATAGCCACCAGCATTCAGAATTACCTGCAATCCTTGAAAAAACCCCAAGAGTATAATAACATAGTTCCGCTTTCTGTCCCACATATAACTTTTCGACCATTCTGATACCAGAAACAACGGCATAAAGTACTGAAGAATTTGGACGGCAATATGAAATCAAACATGAACCGAGTAATCACCTCCCTATATTATATATTACTAGTTGTGTACCCGTGTGATGCAGCAGCATGTAAAATTTTATCCGAAATCAGAATGATAAATTTATGAATTCCTCGTTAAAGGTTTTCTTTACTGAATCTTGCATTTTACATTCCTTCTTGTGCTTAAAGTTTATCTTTCCCAAATTTTCAACAATACACAATTCAGAAGCCATCACTTTTTATGACATAACATACATCACATGCATACCTTCATTATCACTATAGACAATGGCTCGTCTTCAGAAAACTCTGATTGGGTTTGAACCTGGAATAATAAAGCAAGATTAGATGTATAGACATAAAATGTAGCAAAGATGATTTATTATATTATCTTAAAACCATTACATAAACACCCATAAGAACGGATACCTTGCTACTTCGCAGATTACAAACAGATAGAGTGCCATCTCCACTAGATAAGTTAAATAAAAACAAGAAAATATATTATAAATTAAGATGACCTACATGGAAGCTTCCATAAAACTGAAGAATAAAGAAATATAAGAACTTCCTATCTAATAGCTGATCGAGGAAAAAAGTGTTTTCTATCTGCTACTCCCTCTCCAGAAATAAATGTCCACAATGAAAATGGCACACAATTTTACAAATGTCTAATCATTACATTTTTTTAATTAACTAAATGGCAATTTTACCCTTAACAATAGTGGAGTAATGAATTTCTCCATCTTATAACTAAGGGTAGAATTGGAAAGTAGGCACTTACTTTTGAAGGTGGACACTTACTTTGGGAAAAACGAAAATAGAAATTTGGACACTTATTATGGTTAAAGATCATTTTGGGTTCACAAAACTAAACAAATTTTGGTCAAATTTAAATCTAAAAAGTACAAGGTCAAAATTTCAAAATCTGTTTCAAAAGGGAGGAACATCGTTCTTTGAACTATCTTTCTGCAAAGAAGAAAGAGCATTTTCTACTACCTTGTTCCCAAAAGTTTCATGGAATCAGGCTCAAAGGTTATATCAGTAATGTACTCTTCATGAACTTGAAATGAGTTGCAGCAGGACTGCTGTCTTGTATCCCATACCTACAATTAAGAGATGTATGAAAAAGAATAAAAAACAGTCCATATCTTGAATTTCCTTTTTTTCTATCTCTACAGGAGAGGATTAGCACAAATCAGGCTTAAGTGGATGGTAACTTTTTACTTATAGTTGGTACTAAACAATGTAGTTTTCACACCTTAGTTATGTTTATCTTGTACTTGCTTCTACTTATATTGTTACTTGTTGTTGCTTACTCAAATCTAGTTTCTCAAAAATTTAGCACATCTGTCTCTCTCTTTCTATTTGTATTGCTATTATTTGCTCATATCTAGCTTTTGAAATTTTACTATATCAGTATTTCTCCCTTTCAGACACTTTCTAGTAGTTGGGAATCTTCCAAGGAAACAACCGCTCCACTCTTTAGGGTAGAGGCCAAGTCTACTTACATCTTAACCCCCCCCCCCCCCCTCAAAGAGGCCATGACCCCACCTCCGTGGATCGTTTGGTTTGGTTTAGTTGGTACTAAACAGTACTCCTCCAGGTTTTGACAGCAAGATAATAATCCAGACTAATTTTTTTTGTTTCAACCACTATCTTCTTTTAAAATTCAATACCACACTTTATATTGGATGCTTAAATTTTGAAAGTAAATGCATACAATATGCATCAACTTGTGAATACCTATGTAAGTTTCTCCAATATGAAATTGCTTTGGGTTCTAGATTACAGTAAAGATTTTACTATAGCAACTAAATAGAGGAAGCTAAAACTATCCCACGTTTTTGGCTTGTTGCTTACCACTTTCCCGTAGAAGTTCAATATGTTTAACAAAATCGTCAACTAAAATTGCTAGAAAGATCACTATTCTAGTAAATGATATTATCTGACAGCCATTGGCAAGCTTTTCAGTCACAAAAGCAACATTTACTTCAGAGGCCTCCAATGAAATAGTAGCATATAGCAATTGTAGTATTCTTAGCAGATAACAAATAACTAATTTGATTGAAACCTTTATGCATCCTTCGTCACCTCCAGAAGCAATTGTTGTTTCTGTGAGATTAACCAACCGGTTGACAGCTTTCCTGCAAAGAAGATAATTTTTTAGACAAAATTAATTACTGGTAATCACTAAAACATCATCACCACTTACAGAAAATAAGAACACTTACTCATGAGAGCTTTCAAGACGAGCAACTGGAGATCCTGTTTCAACATCAGTGGCTAGGATTGAACAGTCTGGTGAACCCGTGAGGATTACTGAGGAAAGCGAATGCCCATAAGCATAAACAAATTTATGAGGAATAAAAGGCATTAAGCTCTTCATTCAGGAAATAAGTACTCAATCATGGTTTTATAGTATATAAACAGTGTTGTCCATTACCACGTCCCTCATTGATGAATCTAACAGCTCTGCATGATTCTTTGTGGGCACGAACCTTCAACACCCTACAATGATAGTTATCAAGAAACCCAGATCACAAGAAGAAAAAGAGATGAATAAAAATGGTTTCGACACATTTTTGAATTTAATCATTGCACCACCTCATGCAAAATCTTTATCTACAATGATCCCTGTTTGATCTCTAATCAGTTTTGGAATTCAAGCCCAGCTTGAGGTTACATTTGGCTTGGATCTGGAATTCCAATTGGAATTGAAGCAACATTATTTTCAAATTTTTAACTCAATGGGCATTAAGACTAACTACAAAACTCAAATTTCATGGCCCCACGTGCTACATGCATTAAATGTGTTCTCACAAGCATAATATGTGCTGTTGCAGTGATCATTTAATCAATTGTTATCACAATAGGAAATATGCATTTTCAGCAAGCAAAATAATATGGTTGACAATCATTTTCACCAAAAAGCAAACAACTTTCACACACTGAAATGTGTATATCTTGGAATCATATACTGACCTTTGTGGTTCAGAATCTTCAGCATAGCGATATCTGTAAAGCATATAGATTGTTCAGTTAGTTAATGATCAACTGCTAGTACCTACTATTTGCACATTGATGCAAAAAAAAATGAATAATATATGGAAGGATGGACTTACACAAAAAGGTTGCCGGTGATTAAACCAGCAGCAACTAGCTGGTTAGAGGGATGAAAATCGAGGTCGAATGCTATATTCTTCACATTAATCTCCATATAGATTGACAGAATATGCTATATTCTTCACCTTTATCTACATAATTTGAAGAAAAAAAGGTCAATCAAATAAAAACATAAATAGGAACACACCTTGCTACAAATTAATTTCCCCCTTCTTTTTAACAGCCTGATATGATTTTTCCACATGACGATTCCAGATAAACAATTTGATTAGGCTATTGCAGTTTGATTGAATGGTATGTGTACATACATGGATGGAGCTAGGAATTTAAGTGAGAGAGAGAGCCTACTATAATTATATAAATATTATGCAAAATACACAACGATAATATACTGCGGTTCGCTTTTCCATTTCACATGTTAATTGGATCCATGAGTTCTTGACTTCAATCATATTGGTAGCCCAATCTTATGTGAAATCAAAAACTTATCAAGAACAAGTGTGCTAGTTGACAAGTTAAAAACAATAACAAAAAGTTCAACGCTTATATAAGTAACAAAGAAGCAAGTGATGGTAATTATGCTGGGCTATCCGCTAAAAAATTTCTTGATATAATCAAGCTCAAGCCAGATTCTCTTTAACATTTGAATTTTTGCTCCAAAATATCTTGCTTCATTCAGTCTTCTTTATAGCAAGACTGTGTACTAAACTTGAAGCATCTTAAGTTGTGGTCGTCCAATGTTAGTTTTGGTCTTTACCTGCCTCTGTATTTCTGTTCTGTTGCCACATTTTCTGATCTGCATTCTTTACGTGGCACTCATCTTCTTTTTAACTTCATCTGCTACTATGGACTTTAGTTTGGGTTTCATCGTTTCCAGTTGGTTCAGATTATAGGTTGATTCCGAACGACCATATATCTAATCTAAAATTGGAATGAAGTCTGAATGGAGTAAAATTGAGTTGGTATTTAACCTCATAGAGTTGTTATGAACGAGCAAGTATAAAAGCCAGATGGTTTGTTCTAATCTCGAATAAAGGCTGTAATTCGTATAGCAATAAACCAGAAAATAGAAGAGGCAAACTCCCCATTAAAGCAAAACACATACTGAAAGGCAAAAGATTCAGCTAATTCGCCTAAATCTTAACGAGTAATTCACGTAAATCAGTAAAGATGAGATGCTTACCAGAAGAGAAAAAGATAAGAGGCGAATGGAGTTGTGGGTTGAGATGCGCGCCCTAACTTGGCAGTCGGAGGGTGTCTCCGTCGTGAGTCGGAGGGCGTCGTCGTCCTGAGGCCTGGGGGTTTTACACGAAGAAGATGTAAACCCTAAAAATATGAGTTTAGCCACGTTACTAAGGGGGGTGTTTGGGGTGTTTGGGATTGCTTATCAAAACGACTTATTGACTTATTTCAGTCTGGCACCGGAGATAAGCCATTTTGGAGTGTTTGGGTAAAAAAAAAAACTGCTTATACCGGTACCAAACCGGTAATAAGTCGTTTTTGATAAGTTAATCCATAGTGACTTATGAAAATTGACTTATTACCGATTTACCATTTTAACCCTGTCTAAACACCCCCCTAATCGATCACGTCTTCTCCAAAATCGATCAGATCTCCAGGTACGTCTTCTCCAAAATCGAGTTCTTCTCCAGAATCGAGTTCTTCTCCAGAATCGAGTTCTTCTCCAGGTACGATTTCTACAACCATGGAACTCGATTTACAACCATGGAACTCGATTTATTCAACCATGGAACTCGATTTCTTCAACCATGGAACTCGATTTGGAAGAACAATTTAGGGTTTGAGGTTACTGATTCACGATGGAACTCGATTTAGGGTTTTTGTTGGTTACTGTTGTGTGTGTTTTGACACTTTGGAAATGAAACAAGATAACGTCCTTTTTGGTCATTTTACATGTATAAGCAAAATTTACCAAACACTAAAAAAACAACTTATCAACTTATTGCTTTTTGGTACCGCTATAAGCTAATCCAAACACTTTTTACAAAAACTCCAGTTTGATACCACATAAGTTAATAAGCACTTTTACAAAAAAGCATAAGTTGTTTTAATAAGCAATCCCAAACACCCCCTAAGTGTTGGCGATGGGTATTTTGTAAAAACAACTTATTGATTTATTTTATTGTAATATTGATAATAAGTATTTTTGTGTATTTGCATAAATAATTTATATGGTTAATAAATTTTTTTTGAAAAAGTTAAATCATTTTGACTTATAATGAGTTAATAAGTGTTTTTGTAGAAAAACATAAGTTGTTTTAAATAAGTAATCTCAAACACCCTCTACAACTAGTGCATGCACCGTGCGATAACATTTTTTTTCTCGAGAAACATGTTAAGTTACAGTATAAAAAACATAATTTTGTTAATTAACTAATAAAATCTAATATAAAATAATTAATGTACTTAAAATATCCTAGATATAAATTGTTTTTATTTTTAGATTTTTTAATATGAAAACTATTAGGTTTTTATTTATCGATAGAGACTCGACCGTCGATTTAAACTTCAACATGATGTGAACTTTTGGGTGAAAGGTCATATATAAACCACAAAATATTTTTCATTTATGAAAATTAATTTGTCTTAATATCAAACTAGAATTCTATACATTCTTTTATTTATTTTATTAAATAAAATAGTGTTTTGAAAAGAGTTTTGTTTTGGATAAAATGATATATTCCCCTAATAATCTTTTATTTCAAACAAAAAAACAACAGTTACAAAAGAAAATTAGGCATCCTCAAGCAAATACATGTCTTCCAAAAACATAGTTTGACATTGAAAAATTCTCTAAAAGTATACTGTTTTACATTTTAAAATCCAATCATTCATATGTAAAATTGTAATTTTTTGTTTGTCTGCCTCTATATCACCAATTGAGCGAGTAATTTAAAATTAATTAAATATATTATATGACCATTTTCATCAAACCTTTTCCAAAACAAACACAATACTTACATTAAGATTCTTAGCATTCCCACTTTCAAACAGATCTCATGCATAGCTCAAAAATCGTATTATCATCAAATTAAATATTTCAATAAAAGAATTTTTTTTCCTTATGCATCTTTTGTATGTAATTAAACAAAAGAACCAAATCTAGCAGGAAACTATATCTATACTTATAATAAATAAGTAACTTGGGTGACACGTGTTATCTTCTGGGTAGTCGGTTTTCTTGTTTTTTTTGCCTAAACACGTATCTAGACACAATTTACATTAGTGGTTCAATTAGACTTATTTGAACGTATCTAGACACAATTTACATTAACAATTCAATTATATTCATTTGATTGATATGTATCATCTTATTCAATTAATCCCACTAATTTAGGATGCAATTGATTTTATTATTGGGTTAACTAATTCGTGTGGTAACTGATTCCCGAAAAAAAATGGTGTTTACTTTTAAGTTTAAATTCAATTTATTGATATAGTTTCATTTATAAATTCAATTATATTCTAAGGTTAACTTCATTTTATTCTAAACTCAATTTACTGAAAAGTTTTACTTCAGATTTATTTCAAGAGAACAAGCCTAAAGTCATTCTTCAAAGTTAACTCACTCGAACTCTGAAGTTTGCCTTTTCAGATATAGCTCACCCGAACTTTGGAGGCTCAACTCTAAAGTCTTTTGTTTCAGACTTAGAAGTTTGAACTCTGAAACCTTTTTTTTAGACTTAGAAAAAGAAGTCTAAAGTCTTCTTTTTCGGACTTAGAAGTTTGAACTCTGAAGTCTTTTACAAGTCTGAAGAGTACAAGTATGAAGAGTCATTTTTCAGAGTTAGCTCACCTGAATTCTGAAGTTTTCTTTTTCAGATTTAGCTCACCCGAACTCTGATTTTTTTTTCAGACTTAGAAGTTTGAACTCTAATTTAATGGGCGTGATTACATACTTCAGAGTTATTTCAAGAGTACAAGTCTGAAAAGTCATTCTTCAAATTTTATTTCAGAGTTATTTCCACAATACAAGTCTGAAAAGTCATTCTTCAAATTTTATTTTAGAGTTATTTCCACAATACAAGTCTGAAGAGTCATTCTTCAGAGTTAGCTCACCCAAACTCTCTAGTCTTCTTTTCCAGACGGAGCACCATGTAGAGCTTTTGGCTTACCTATACAGAGCTCTGAAGTCTGAAGAGTTATACTTAAGAATAATTTCAAGAGTACAAGTCTTGTAATAAACTTATCTAGACTTTGAAGATAAGTCTTTAAGACTTAGACTTAGTCTTGTAAGCCATATCCCCTCTGGTTGGTCTGGCTTCGGGATTGCTTTGTTTCTGGTTGTTTATTTAAACCTTGGAAAAAATATTCCAATCCATCATAAAGAAACCAGAGGGGCTCTGGTTGATCTTCACGTTTAACCAGAGGGTCTCTGATTGTAATTGGAACTCAAATTCTTTAAGTATTTAACATTTTTTTAACCCAAAGGCTCTGGTTGACCAGAAGGCCTTTGGTTGGCCTTGCTTTTAGGTGGTGAGTTCATAGGGGCTCTGGTTCTTAAGGACCAGAGGAGCTCTGGTTGGTCTTGCGCTGTATGATGCAAACTTTATCATTAAGTCATTTTCAAATATATTGGGTATTTGAATAAATCTGAACTCAAGGTCTTCAGACTTCGTCTTTAGATTTGACACATGCGCTCTTCTAAATTTAAATTCAATTTACCAATATAGTGTCATTGCTAAATTCAATTTTATTATAAGGTTAACTTCATTTTAACTAATTACTGATATAGTTTTATTTCTAAATTCAAGTCTGAAAAGTCATTATTCAGAGTTATACTTCAGAGTTATTTCGAGAGTACAAATCTGAATAGTCATTCTAAAGAGTTAGCTCACCTGAACTTTGAAGTCTATTTTTTCAGACTTAGCTCACTCAAACTCTAGAGTCTTCTTTTTCAGACTTAGAAGTCTGAACTTTGAAGTCTTTTTTTAACTTAGAAAAAGAAGTCTGGAGTCTTCTTTTCAGACTTAGAAGTCTGAACTCTGAAGTCTTCTTTTAGAGTTAGAAAAAGAAGTTTGAAGTCGTCTTTTTTAGACTTAAAAGTTTGAAATCTGAAGTCTTCTACAAGTTTGAAGAGTCATTATTCAGAGTTAGCTCTGAAGTCTTTTTTTTAGACTTACCTCACCCGAACTCTGAAGTCTGAACTCTAAAATCTTTTTTCAGACTTAAAAGTCTGAACTCTGATTTAGTGGGATTGAATTTATACTTCAGAGTTATTTCAATAATACAATTATGAAGAGTCATTCTTTAGAGTTTTACTTCAGAGTTATTTTCATAGTACAAGTCTGGAGAGTCATTCTTCAGAGTTAGCTCACTCGAACTCTGAAGCCTTCTTTTTCAGATGGAGCACCATGCAGAGTCTTTTGCATAGTGCATGCTGAGCTTCTGGCTTGCCTATACAGAGTTATGAAGTTTGAAGAGTTTTACTTCAGAGTTATTTCAAGAGTACAAGTCTAAAGTCATTTTTCAGAGTTATACTTCAAAGTTATTTCAAAAGTACAAGTCTGAAGAGTCATCTTAAATTTACTTCTAAGTTTAAATTTAATTTACTGATATAGTTTCATTCCTTAATTTTATTCTAGGGCTAACTTCATTTTAACTAATTATTGATATAGTTTCATTTCTAAATTCAAGTCTGAAGACTCATTTTTTAGAGTTATTATTCAGAGTTATTTCAAGAGTACAAGTCTGAAATAGCATCGTACTTTCGATGATCATTAATATCTGTAAGATAAGTTCCTGACATGATTTAATTTTTTCAAATTACCCCGTGTAATACATGAGATCGAACCTAGTTAGTATGACATATATAGGAACATAATGGAACCACCACCAATACTTACACATTCACTCTTGTTCCCTTACACCTATCATTTGGAATATAAGATAAAAAACAAAAAGATGCACCAAAACATAAGCCAAAGGACAACTACACAAACTTAATGACAAAGATAATACATCAAGTTTTATTGGGCTTTAAAATGGAATAATTAAACCCAAGAGAAGATTGAAAGAACCCTTATGCAAAGATGCAGTTAAATCTTAAGATGGAAAACAATCAGATCATATAACTTTGAGGAAAAAAAAGTCAACATATTTGAAATTTCTTGATGTTAAAGAGCTTTTGAGGCACCATATCACCAATTGCCTTCAATACTCCGACCATCAAAGCTCCGCTATGCAAAATTTTCTTTTAATAATTCTGACAAACAAACAAAAAAATCCAACTCATAATTGATAAAGAAATAACAGATCTCAATTCATGGTGCAACTTAAAACACAAAATCTACAAGAAAAAACTTTTCATTGA